GTATATGTGATATATATATAATGTGGGTGTGTGTGTGTATGTTTTTGTGTACGTGTAGATATACGTATATATATACATACATACATACATATATACATACATACATATATATATATATATATGTATATTCTGCATGAGCATATACATATGCTTTTATGAAGTTATTCGTACAAGCACCCATGTATGATTACGCACAATAGCAAGGACGATTATGTGTATATACGCGATCTTGTATGCACATCTGCGAATTGGTATGATGGTGTATGTTGTTGTATGCCTGTTCATGTGCGCGTGACTATAATGACTGGTGTGTGAGTATTTCCACACTTGTGATAGCCCATAGGTGTGGATATCTCTCCTATAGGTGACAGCCACCTCAGGGTACATATTAACAATTGAGCGTCGATACAGATCAGTAAAACCAAGGTAACAACAAAGAAAATTTTGACAAACCCAAGTCAAGTACACACGTGTACAAGACTGTACAATATCTATAGTACTGCAAGTCGAACAAGTGCAAATGCCATTCAAATACAATACGCAGAAACGAGTTTCAAGGGCCCATCGACACTTACCCTCTTAGATATCATGAACTTCGGTACCACCGTGATGTTTTGTGATTCGAGATAACTCTGGTACACGTTTAGCAACAGACTCGCCGACAAGTTTGTCCGCGTGATTGCCTTCTGTATGGCATAGCCCTCATAGACTGGAACCACACTGCCCCCCGACAGTCCCATGTCAAATACCAGTGCATTCGATTTACCGTTCGCAAACGCACTCAGTACGGGCTTCTTGCCCAGGAAGTACGCAGGGGTCTTATAGGTCTCGAACATTATCTCTGTGAGCTTTTCTCGTTGTTCGCGTGAGCTCCAGGCCTCGTCCCCTACAAGTATGGGATGCTCCTCGGGATTGCAGCTCAGCTCTGACATGGCGTAGTGCAGATGGGCTTCGTAAAGGTCCCAGTCGACGATCACACCGTCTTCAACGGGGCATTTGATCGTCATATCTTCGCGGTATACATTATTTTGGTGTCCAATATAGTACGGACTCCTTTTCTTAGTCGGTTTTGCATCGTCAGCTACATCTGTATCCATGCCATCTACTGCAGCAGCGGGTAAATACCCTGAACTAGAAGAGAACATGCACGATGGAAGATCCTCCCCGGCAATGCCGGCTTTGGTCTCGTATGCCCCTACTTCAAACACAACCGCGCCCGTTTCTTCACCGCCGTATATAGCCCCACTCATTGTGTCAGACTACTTGTTCGCCAACCCTACCAGCACCTCGGATCAAGCAATATATATCAGGTACGTATACAGATTAACACCTAGGTTGTTAAATAAACACTACTGTTTACATACAGGGCTGTGATTTTCACCAGTGTCGCACATTTATTTATTTATTGTTGTGCTGTGCTGTGCTGAATGTTTTGGCGGGTTATGATGTGCGCTCAGGCGTGGAGCAAATCGTGCACCACAGTGAACCAGCCAAAAGAAATGCTTATCGAATAAGGTTTGGTTTTAGTTTTTTATTACAAATAGGAATAAAGATTAGTCACACAAAAGTCTTATTATACTATTTATGATTCGCAGATGAAGCATTCAACTAATCATAACGTTCTCATATTATAATTCCCTAATTTGGTATGCATAGCGTAACTTCTTGAGTCAAGAGCAGATGGCGCGATGGTTTCAACTTTCAATTCTCGTAATCATGAGTCATGATACCGTGTGAGTACTCGAAGTCTGCGACTCTGCGTCCTGCGTAGAGTAGCACAATACTCTCTACTACTAGCCAGTGTAGGGAGAGTGTGTGTGAGTGTGTTGCATAGTGCGAATATATAACAATCACACATCGCATACAACCAACCACATTCGATATTGACTAACACGATGAAGGGTGCACTTGTATTTGCTGCTTTGGCTGTCTTCGCCATGGAGTGCGAGGCTGGAGGCTACGGGGACAACCCTAGACCCGCAGCCAAGACATTCGAGGAGAAGGTAAGATGGTCGCCAGCTTCTGAAACAAGGAACGGAGGTGTGCACATGCATAGCTTCAAAGTGAAACACATGTATATTTGCTGGTACATTTCGTACTTGCGCATGTACTGCATGTACTGCATACATCTAATAATAATTACGTTTGCAAGGGCACGTAGCTATGCATGTTTCGTCTGTGTAGCTAGTCCATACTTTCGCTTCATTCGCAACATCTGTTCATGTTTTCATGGTTATAAATATATATATAGTATATATATATATATATATAATATATTATATATATATATATATATATATATATATATATATATATATATTATGTGCTACTCTGACTGTTGGAAGCTCTTGTTATTGGCCCTTTGTGCCCAACTCACTCAACTGATCTCGTAAATATTTATCGTTTGCCTATTCGTCATGTGTAGGTGGCTATGTCGTACAACTACGAACCCATTGGCTCCAACGATATGCGTGCCAACAGCATTCCCGACTCTTGGGACTGGAATGATGTGGATGGCAATTCCTACCTGGCCCCAAGCTGGAACCAGCACATTCCCGTATGTATAGTGTGAGGGTGTATTATTTTGGATTGGCTACGCTGAAAACTGTAGTGTTCATTGTCTGGTCTGATACTCTGCGAGTAGCTAACAGTCATTAGTCCATAGGCTCAACACTTGTCCTCACTCTACCTTGTCCTGAATTTACTCGTTACTGACGTTTTTCAAGTCAATTATAAAAAGTTGCTGAGTTTCCCCGTCTTTTTTTCCGCTCAGACTCATAGAGATGCTTTTATATCGACAATTTTCAAGTAAGAGACCTACTGCGAATCTGTACAGGATACCGTGTGAAATATTTTGTAGGCTACCGACATTCTTGCAATACCCAGATATACTGCGATATATATATATAAATATATATATATATCTATCAAAGATATCCCGCCTGGTAACACGTTGTTCCCTTACTTTTCGTCAATCAACAGAAATACTGTGGCTCCTGCTGGCTGCACAGTTCGCTGAGTGTTGTTCAGGACCGTATCAAGATCATGCACGGTGGTGATGGCATTGATGTCATGCTAGCCAGACAAGTCCTTCTCCAGTGCGCACCTCTCGCCAATCTCTCTAACGGATGCAAGGGTGGCGAGCCTTCCGATGTATTCGGCTACATGCAGAAGTACAATGTAAGTATGATGACAATATTTTAGGAGTGGTGACGATCCAATTCTTTGTAGAAATATATCTGAGCTCTGTAGTATTTGGTACCACCACGAATGCATGCGGGTTTACTGGCATTTTGAGTTATTTGCGAGTTTATTTTCTGGCTTCGGGGGTTTTTTGCACCCATTATAGGCTTTCCCTATATATTCAGCGATTAACAACTTCAATGCACAACTATTAATCTGCAGCTTCCTGATGAGGGCTGCTTCGTCTATAAGGCTGACGACACCGATTTTATGCACCTAAAGAAAGAGGGTATCTCCGAGTGCCCTGCTGAGGGACGTTGCGTCAATTGCATGACTGGCCACAAGCCCGAGTGCTATGCAATTGAGAACCCATTGACCTACGGGTAAGCTATTATCGATTCAGACTACTTCTTGTTCGTTAAGAGTGTGGTGGTGGGGGGGGGGCTCTTTGCTATGTTGTTTGGCGTAGGTTCTTGGATTATTTGAAACAGATTTGAGGTTGGCTATTTTCTGCACTATTGAGCCTGCCAATATAGACGTTGACTTCGACATTTACCCAATCGAATTACGATGACCATAGGGTAGCGGCAACCATATCTCATACTTTATTTTCTCTCTTTTTAATATCAGTGTCAAGTCCTTCGGCCCTGTGCCAGAAGGCGAAGATGCCATGAAGGCTGAGATCTACAACAGAGGCCCCATTGTATGCAGCATCGCTACTGGCAAGGCTCTAGACTACGGTAAGTGAGTCTCCCGGGAAACATACTGTATCTGGGCTATAGTCCCAACTAGATAGATACCAATGTGCTATTTATTGATGTTGGTTAACAAGCCAAACATACTCCTTCGTTGAGCGCTCTCTAACCTCGCTGTGCACGCGCATATACTCGCAGGCTACCGCGGTGGAGTGTTCATCGACGTGAACAACGTCACCGATGTCGACCACGACATTGAAGTTGTTGGATGGGGAGAGGAGGACGGTGTGCCATTCTGGAAGATTCGCAACAGTTGGGGTACCTTCTGGGGCGAGTTGGGTTTCTTCAAACTGAGACGCGGCACCAACGAGCTGCAGGTGGAGAAGGACTGCTGGTACGCCGTGCCTGATATCAGTATGGAGAAGGAGATGTTGGACGGGAAACTGGTGGGATCTATGGAGAAGGGTCTAGTCAAGAAAGACGAGGCTGAATTGTAAGCGTGCAATTGATCTTGTCTGATAATGATATGATTGCAGTGCAGAATTGGATCCAACTCGAGTGTCGAGCTGAGCTGGTTGAAAAGAATAGCGACAGTGTATAGGATAGTGCTAGCTGCTAGTTTTGTTTTAATTGTCGGTATTCCTGCTGAGGTTTCGATCATTCAAGGTTCTTAGTCTAAATGTCGAGGGTCAGCCGCGCCCTTCGGAAAGAACGCTCTCGTTATCTATTAGTTACTAATCCCGAATTTCATGAAGAGTAAACTATTTTTAAAATTTAGCAATTTCTCTCGATTTAAGCAATATCTGATGGTGCGATAGTTAGAGTCCACTTTTCGTGAGCAATGTATCGATTTCCCCAGCGGCTGACGAGTCTTTATTGATTCTTTCCATCGCAATTTGGCAGTTGATATGCAATTGCGTCAGCGATACTCACCCCCCTGTTAGTCCTGTTAGTCTATTAGATGTTTGCGTTGCCACTGAAGGCATGGGTACAATACATCGGATGGTTGTTGATATTGGCACAGGAAGACGGCGATGGGGGTCAGAGAAGATGCAATCCCAGGTGTCGTCATTATAAGCTTAAGCCTAGAACTATACGTCTGATAGCTAGATAGTTTCTATGTGAGAGCCCCAAGGATCGACCACAAGTGTGTGAGGTGACTTGTTTCCCATGCCAATGCCTAGATTGTGAGCCATAGACGGACTACAACCGGTTCTAGCTGCAGATCATTTCTTTGTATAGAGCACCTCGTGGCTGTGCGCGCCACAACACCACAGACTAACGCCCACACCGGCTGGCATGAACATTAGCCAAACATTTCAAATACGTGTTTGTAGTGTATGTGATGAAGCATATTGAAATCCGGCAATATGGGTGTTGAGAGATTCGCTTGGCCTCCTCTTCCATACACGTGCCGTGGTAGCTGTATGACCGATGTGTTATGTGCTGCGCATCTCTGTGGCCGCACCCACTGCGAGTGACGCCAGTCGCTCAATTCAGCCTGCAGGCGAGAAAGGTCGAGAATATGATTCAGTGGTTCACAGGCAAACAAAGCTGGGCACTACATGCCGCTCAGTGTTTGTAAAGAGATGAAATGAAAAACACAGACCACCCCACAAACAAACGTGTACATAGATATAATTAGGAGGCCGGTACCTGAGCTTGATTTCGCTCTTCTTTGGTACGCTAGTCGTTTGTGGCAGTTTGATTTGGGAATCTTTGTATGTCAGCTCGTTCTTCTCCTGTTCTACCCTGTTTAAATATCCGATGAAAATGTTCATTGAATTTATCACAAGGGTGTAGTAATATTTATTTAATACTACAACGAGACAGAATGCTCGACATCTGCTTGACACAGCCTTCTGAGACAATGAGACAAGTACTTACTTGCGCGTCGTTTGTATCGGAGGCCCAGCCGGCGAAATGGGCTCTTCATCCTCATGCCTACGAGGAATTATGCACAATGATATCCTTGTCAAGATCAACTTTTCCCTGATCTATTCAATCGATGTAAATGAGCACTTTCAAGTAAATGGCAGCAAACATACCCTTCTAGTTCGTCTTGTTTCTCCGTTCTCTTATCCTCTCCTTTAGCCACCCCTTTCACATCGTCGGTGCCTTCCGCTGTCGCTGCCTCTGCGACTCCTTCTGCCGCGCTGCTTGGCTGGTCCGCAGCTATCGATGGCGTATCTACACATCACGAAACGAGCGGTTGTCAGACATGCATTCCGTCAAGTACGATCCAAGTACTGGTTAATCAGCTATAGAATAGTGGCAACAAGTATATTGGCTAATGATTGTTGACTTTGCATACACAACAGATGTGGTGAAGTTGATGGCAAGTCAGCTCACGGTTTACATCCATTCAGCTTCATGATTCGCACCCTCAAGTGCCTCCCGACGAAAGACATCCCGAAAGCCCCAAATTCACACCCGTCCTAGCTGAACATTCCACTTAAAACTCGTTGTCCATACCTGACACCACCCCACTGGACACGGCCCCATTCTCGGCCGGTTTGATTGTGCCGGCGTTTGCAGCGGCGACCTTCCTTTTCTTTTTCATCCTCTGCGTAGTTCGATGCCACATTAGAAATCTCAGGTGAGTGATCGAGTATCGCACCTGTAAATGTGCAGGCACTCCTAGAAGCTAAATCGAGCACAAGATTGCAACAGGTATCCACGTATCATACAACAACACACCTCTGCCTGATCCACTTTCCTCTTGGGCTTCTTGATCGGCCTGCTTTCGCCCATCTCAAACAACCATTCCGGAAGATTCGATCTATACGCAATTGATCGCGCAAAGGGTAAATAATGATAAACTGCAAACGGTCTCTCTTTTGCTGACAGAAACATGCATTGTTCAGTGGCAAACGCATTCACTATCCGAGCAAATGAACCCGTTCTGATAGTCAGGGCTAAAACTCGGCATTTACGTCATGTTACTATCGAGTGGCGCGAACACAGAAAAAGCAGGGGGGGGGAATCAACTTCTCAGTAGAATAAAAGGTATGCTTGTACAACACTCTATCGCGACATGGTAACGATCACCAACAGCTATATACCTCTTCACATGCGTAAACTCCAGTTTCCCATCGGGGTCTTCGCCTTGCTGCTGTGCCAGGCGCTCCTGCACATTGTGCACTACGGAGTAGAAGTCAAAGGGTCCCTTCGCCGTCGAGTCAAGCTCAATGCCAATGAAGTAGCTGTTACAGTACTTTTCTGTATGAGGCGGCGGACAGAGAACAGATTAGCGTACATTAATATGATCGACAAAATGGTCCCAAGTGCACATTTGACTATAACCTTCGCGCTCATGTGTCGCTGCAAATAGATTCATTCTCAAAACATGCCGTCCTTCCATAGAAGTTTGACGAAAACAGAACCCATGTATACGCGGATATATGTGTGTGTTTGAATATTTCAGTGATTGGACAATATACCTTTTTCAGGCTTCTCTAATTCAGCGATATCCGCCTGACTCGCTTCAGCAACCTCAGCTGTCGCGGTCCCCTTTTCGGCCATTGCGGACAGTTTTGGGAAGTCGCGCTGCAGCAACCAAAATAAGAAAGTATAAGTTAAAAAGATGGCCCAGACCAACTCTGAATAGCTCTACACACGTTATTCCATCTAATAATAAAAATATAGAAGGGATTACGTATCAAAACAAATTCTACGTAAAAAGCCCATCGGCGGCCTCTTATCTCACACCTCGTATCCCTTGGGCCATGGACAGGCGATCTCGACTCCCAATATCCTCTCTAGACCCATCACAAGGTACCTCATTCCTCGACCCTCCACTAGTCCAATCCTAAGAAGTCGTGTACAAAACTACTTAGCTACAACTGCGGAAACATGATGTACGATGATTGTATTGTATAAACATGGGCAGTAATTTAAAGCGTGGAATGTGATTAACTAAAAGTAGCTGTCTGGTCCACAACTGCTGAAACATGGTGTATGATGATTGTATGGTATAAACATGGGCAATAATTGGAAGCGTGGAATGTGATATCTGAAAGTAGCTGTGTCTGGTCTACAACTGCTGAAACATGGTGTACGATGATTGTATTGTATAAACACGGGCAGTAATTTAAAGCGTGGAATGTGATAACTAAAAGTAGCTGTGTCTAGTCTACAACTGCTGAAATACGAGTGCACGATGATTGTATGTTATAAGATTAAGCACTACTCTTAAAGTGTGAAATGGCATTTCTAAAAGCAGCTGTGTTTCGTTGTGCACTCGAGCACATCGTGGAGATTCTTTCTCCTCATTTGCTTCTGATGTTAAGCTGCGCGGACAACAGGCGATGAGAGTAAGGGAGACCGGTGATCAGGTCCTGCGATGACAAAAACCTCATTTAATCAAATGCTGCATTAATAACAAGCCCCACAAAATTATAAGACCGTCGAGTGTTCTGAATCTTTTAACACATAAACTTCGCTTACCATTTGTGAAACTTATCCTCGGTAGGCGAAATGGCATCGATTTGAAGGAAGTGCCTATGCCTAGAGAAGAAGTCGCTCTTGTCGAATAGATCCGACCACGTGGCTTTGCCCTCGTCTATTTGCATAGCAATGACACATCCCCTGAATGAGAAGAATAAGGCGAGACAGGTGCCAACATCCGATAGGCCATGAGTTAAAAAATGGCATCAGAAGCTGTTTTGTGTTAAACATGATCCCGAATGCCAGACAGCTCCAAACTGCTGACCCTATCATTGTCAGCAAGGACACAGAAAGACACACAGGCTGAGATGCACTATCGAAGCTCACAGAATCAAATCCGACGCCATTGTTCTAAGTACAAGGTATGCATCCAACGGCAGCGAGACATACACATCTTACCGATCAAACTCGTTTCGCATGACCTTCAGCGTCGAGGCCGAAACGTTATGGGTTGAGTTTTGACTGGGGAAGGCGGGCGTGATGATCGGCATCAGGGCGCGGCGGTCACCCGGGTTGAACTGAGTGAGGGGTGGAAGGTAGCGTGTGGTAGAGTATGTGAGAGGAATGAGGTGAACCTTGTGCTACTGTTGTAAAGCAGTTAACTTAAGAGATGTTGTGTTTCTGAGGTGCCCTTGTTCTCCTACACTCGATAGAAAACGTAGGGCATACATTACAGAGTAAGTAGTTGCCAGTACACAGAAAACCCGATTCGACAAGGGTGTGGGTTGTCAGTGGACAGAGATTGGGGAGAAAAACCGTAGAAAGTAATACAATAAAGTGTAGACCGGAGGGGCAAGAACAGTGATAGACAAACATTCCATTTGCTGTTAACGCGCCATCCTCTACACGTGATATCAACAGGCGTCTGAGAGGACCAACTTAATCTCTAGTGTCTGCTTAATAGCCAACAACATAAAGTATACCAACACTGAGTACTGCACATCGCATACCCTTGGATCCCAAACGGTGAAAGACCCGAAGTTCTCTGTCTCCACATTCAACAGCAGGACAGGTGTAGGCCACTTCCTGAAAGCGCACGTGAGAAAATGTCATCTTATCGTAAAATGTATTTTACATGCCATCTTATCTTGTAATGTATTTTACATGACATCTTATTGTATAATATATGATAAATGTAATCTTATCTTGTCATATATCTTATTGCATCTTATCTTATATTGTATCTTTTACGTGCCATCTTATCGTAATACATCTTGGATGTGGAGAAGGACGAGATGGGCGGGGTCTGATAGTTGCATACAATCAACCAGTGAAAGTAATTCAATATGTCAAAGAGTACAGCAATGCCATATCGGCTGTACACGACCACAACTGCATCAGTAAACGAGCTTATTACAAAACGGTATAGCAAGACAAGGCCAGACACGTGCACTTCTATGCACTTACCAGTTGGACATGACCATCATAAATTTCAGGACGATGGTGGCCACGCAGCCTTTCGGATAGAACTGACAAACACGTGCCACCAGCATAGCCCACGAGACACCTCCGAGGAATCCCATCGCATTATTGTATATACCTCGCCCTATAATGAGCAACGAAGATAGTACTTCAGATGTGTGGATACGGAAAGTACATAACACCGCATAATCAAGGCCAGCAACAACAACATGGTCAAGAAGCACGATCCTGACATGGTTTAAACCCGCGTGCGGAGGCCACATACGTTTCGCCCATAATTTGATTGCGTATAAGGCTAGGCGGAACACCTTCACGTCGGGTACCAGTGTTAATATTCGATCTGTGACTCGCCGACCTGCAATGATGAAAATTGTAGGCCCGTGATGCGATTAACATCGTAAAGAATTAAGGCCTCAATTGTTGTGACATATTATCCCATGTCTGAAATTGGATAAAACAACTTCAGAGAGGTATCGCTTGCTAGTTAAATTGTAGACCAACCCCTCTGCCGAAATTATACTGTCACGCGAGGGGCAGTGGCCTTCGCGTGGGGTTTGCGACTTAAACCAATCCGAATTCCCAACCGCATTGCGCGTAAATTTGGATGATGTAGATACAAACGAAACGTTAGACACGCCAGAGAACGTCACTTTGTAGTGTCTGGCAATGGCACCAGCGAACCCAATGCTGCCTCGAAGAACGATTGTCGGTGGGCATGCGTGTCAATTCTTGATCAGCGCTTCAACACCACACATGACGTATGTGCCATACATATCAAACCATTTACATTACCGTTTATACTCCTTATAGATTCCGGGTCGAGATCTCTAAGTAGTTTGTTATCTGATAGATCCAAGGTGGCGGGGATGGCTGACATATTCAGGGCTGCCATCGCCAAATCCGTCTGCATCAAGCAACAGTCGAATACAGAGCTTCAGTTGGATGTGCCAAACTACGATATGAAGTTCAAAGCCAAGTAAATGCATGCAAAGCAAACCACCATACGCAGAACGCATAGCTATACTTACATGGATCCCTTCGAAGACCATCTGGATTTCTGGCACAAAAGCCTCTATCACTGGCTGTAGAAAGGACAGGCAGTACAGAATGGCAACGGTCAGTTGGCGGTTAGGTATGGCCTCGGTATGAAGCAACCACAGGAACTAATTGCAAACACGACCACATAAAAAAATGCGCATCAGTCAACGGATACGCGTTCAGTACACACCGTTAATTGGGTGACCTCGGGACGTTTCGCCAGCATGTCCACCAGCGTGCCAAAGAAATCCGGGTCTCGCCGGATGTGATTCGGAACCACACACAGCGTATCGATATCAGCCCCTGCACAAAAGTTAAGTCGTACAATGATCGTAAGCAAGTGGTGCTACGAGTGGTACCAGAAGTATATACTCGTTTGGCAATGCTCTGCAAAAGGTATAAACGCAATGCTGCGCGCACCGAAATGAGGAGAATTTGTGCCATCTATAGTTCCTCTCGTGATCGCTCTCCGTTTATGTAAAACTATTGTACTATTGGAAAGCGGCTTTCAAAATGATTTGACAATTGATCAATCGACACGATGATCATTGCTGAGGCACAATCCCGCTAGGCTATATGATAACTCATTAGCTTCGAGCAAGCAGGTGAGTTACATGCATGAGGAACCACCTAGCAAGCCAAATAAAACAGCGTGTAACTTGGTTAAAAATTACAACGGAAGCGACTTTATACCTTTGTCGTAACACGACGGCACAATTCGTACAAAACACGAATATGACAGAGATCAACTACAAACCTCGTCCATGGACGCCAAGCCTATACGATCCGAATGTGTAGATGTTGCCTCCGTACGAGTCAAGCATTGCAGCCGGCTTGTTCTAGATATAACAATTGAATGATACGCAATATACAGATATTAGTCAGCTATACTGTGTCATATAGGCTTGTTTATCAAGCTATACTGTGTTTTATACGGCTTATTTAGAACGCTATACTGTGTTTAAAACGGCTTGTTTATCAAGCTATACTGTTTAATACGGCTTGTTTAGAACGCTATACACGGCTTGTTTATCCAGCTATACTGTGCTTAATAAGGGTTGTTTAGCACCCTCTACTGTGTTTCATACGGCTTGTTTAGCACGCTATACTGTGTTTAATTTGTACTAACGTTGCACACTTAAACTTCTAAGGAGAGATTGTGAAAGCACATAAAGTGCGATTACCGTGAAGAAGCTCTTAGATGTTATTGTACATAGCAGGACCTATTCTAGGTGGTTGTATGCGACGGTGGCCTTGCAATGCTAAACTTCAAAAGGCAACCATACCTGCTGGCGACTAGCTTCCTTCACCCATTCTTGGACGATCCCATTAACCTTCGCAAGTACAGTACGTCTGAGAGAAAAGCCAAAACATGGACAAGAGCGCAGCAGAACAGAGACAGCAGTGAGGAACACATGCGACTATTGTCCAAATGTGCGAATCGAGGTCCTGGACGAAACAGCTATATTGCAGTGCATGATCGTGTAAACTAAGGATATAGCGTGGCAGGGCTGGAACTAAGGTGGTGTATTGCCAAATGTAGTATATCTATCGAACACGGCACGCACGGGCAGGAAAATATACTCCATGCAAGGATAAACCAACAGTACTGAGAAGGACGTGCATAGACTATGACGAATCCCATTCGCGCTGGGATATCAAGCACTGCATAGGACTCGAATATGTATCTATGTTGATATGAAAGTGGCTTAATATTTCCCATTCAATTGTGTAATAAGTCAGTATA